CCAGTCATACCCGCCATTCAACAGCTGCATACCTCAAGTCACCAAATGTGACACCTGTGAACTTCTTAAAATTGGCACTGGGAAGTCGATCTTCTGGTAGACCAAGTGGATATGGAAAGCCATTATGAAAGACTGGTGTGCTTTAGGTATCTAGCCTTAGGAAGAATACTTTTGCAATGAAAACTATGCAGTAGAGCCACTATCAAGATGCATGGACGTCTAATAGAGCATGACCTAGCAGGGTGACATAGACTGTAATGATGTTTAATTATGTATATTTATGTATAATTATGTTTTATGTTTTGTTACATGAAATTTCTGTTTTATGCCCCCACCGACACACACATATATACCAACATATAAATCTGTTTCTACTTTATACATTTTTATACAGTTCAAAATAATTTAAATAGTCATTGACTAGAAAACAAAACGATTTTTTCCTCATTTCCTAATTTACTTACTATATAGACAAAATAATAGTATGCTATTTATATATAACTACCTGAGGTACCCAGCGTTGCATGGTGAAAATTTAAATTTAAAATGTATAGTTCAGTATTTTTTCAGCAAATTATTCAGTAAGTAGACAAAAGCTGTGATGCGAGAAATAAAAAAGCATCTAATCAAACAGAGCTTTATTTGAAATTAGATCGTGTTTGAACTTGTCTTGTTCGTTGAGCCTGAAGTCGTACATCATGTTGCTCCTCTGTTTCTTGCTCTCTGTAAGTTCTCTCTCTTAATTTTTGTGCTTGAAGTCTGATTTGACGCTGTTCAAAAGTTTCTTGCTGTCTATATCCAGCTTGCCTTGATGATTCTGACTGAACTCTGACTTTGTGCTGTTCAACAGTTTCTTGTTGTCTTTGGGTAGCCTGCCTTTCAGCTTGAGCTCGAAGTCTAACTTTACGTTGTTTCAAAGTCTCTTCTGTATTTGAGCAGCCTGTCTTGCAGCTTGTGCTTGAAGTCTTTGATTGCATTCTTCTTCTGTTTCAGCTGCTCTTTGTGCTTGCATTCTTTTAGCGACAGAAGACTTTCCATAGAAAGGGCGTTTCTTGGGTGGCATAATCATCTGTATCACTAAACAATAATTTACATTTCACAAAGTTACTAAATCACTTATGAAACCACTTAGCACTCTTTAAAGAAAACTGTTTTAGGAAATACTGAATTGACAGCAAGGTGATCTGAGTGTCTCCCGTCATAACGCTATCTATGTGCAAAACGTGCTTTGTTTCTATGTTTATTACAAAAAATGGCGCAATAATAATTAATTGTCAATTTTGTCATTAAATACTACACCAAATACAAAATTAATAGCACCATTAAATTTCTTGTAAAAACTGGTTATTATGAAGTTGTTTTAAAATTTGTAAGTTCAACCATTTGGTTTCCTATAGCGAACAAAATAAACAAACTTCCTCTTTTATATTGTTACGTCTCCGTTCGTTAGTTGATTTTCCGTAACTTCGTTCCGATGAAACTTTAGCGACACAAGTCTTTACTTAATAAAACTGGTTTATTCTTTCTGAATACAACTTTACGATACACTTACTTTCAACAGTCGCGCTATAACAAATGCTATATCTCACGTGGCCAACAATATTTTGTCCGCATACATTCAAGTACTCATTACACTGATGTCCCGTCACGTTGTGACCATCTTATATATACAGACTACCCC